GTAATCTATTTTGGAGTCAGAGTGATGAGGAAGGACAAAGCCAATGAAGTAGCTAAGGAACACACAACTTACGAATGTTCACTAGATTGTAAAGTTGCCAGCTTAATGTATCAGCAGCAGCATAAAGGACTGAGTAAAAGATCTGAAAGTGCCACAGAAAAGTTTCTGTAAGATACAAGCTCTGCCAGACAAGCAAAAAAAACGCCCTGTTGAATCACACTTTGCAGTGTCTCCTAAGTACAGTGACAGGAACACTCAAAGCTTTGCAAAACTACACAAATTTCCCCAGCCCACTTGTCAGCATCTCCCACTGCTCCCAGCGAAAAGCACCAAAGGCAGCAGAAGCAGACAAAGCAATGCTCTCCCACAGCCAGCAAGTTTTAACAGAAGTCACACATGCAGAATAAATAAAGGAAGAAAGCACACTTTCAGCTCGCTCTCTGCTCATTCTGTCTCTCTACCTTAATAAGTTGTAAGATTTTTGGAATGTATCTTTGACGGTGCCATTTTCTGCTGAAGTCACAACCCTTAAACCAAGCATCCGGATTTAAAAGTCTCTCTTCTGGGTAAAGATGGATCTATTATGTGAAACAAGAGGAACTGCTGTAATTTGCTTGGCAGATGGTGGTTAAAGCATCAGCCTAGAAACCATGCTCAATTCTGAAGCAACATAATTTTGACAGAGACAGTTCAGAAGCCAGCCTTCTGGCTCAGAATGCCTACCCAGATTTGTTATTGTTGCAATCAGTAATGCTTAGATATGAATTACATTTAGTTATTTCTCTCAAGAGTGTATTTTTAAACTGACCTTGGTAGGTAAGTGAAACTAATGAAGATAAATGATTTTATGCTATTCTCAAGAGCATTTATGAAGGACATGAGGCACTACGGTCCATATTAAAGCACTGTCGTTAACATGAACAGAAATTATTTCATAACATATTAGATTCCTATCCAGCACTCTGAAACATCCCCTATATTGGCATGAAACACCAATGGAGTATTGATATTCCCCAGCAACTGTCGCATCTCACAGTGCAAGGATCAGAAATTCACAAAAATTATTGAAAAACTGAATGTTTCTGTTCGTGTGAAACAAAGATTCTCCAGTAAGACACCTCTTCCATACACTCATGTTATTTCTACAGATTCTTTGTTCTTGTACAGAATGGAAGGCAAAACAAGGACTATTTTCCAAATATTCTCCGCTACCTTGGTGAGGCAGAGACTATGTATGTTCCTTGTGCTGTCAAAGTTCAATAATAATCAAGGAAGTGTGGCAGAAGTAAACACATTTTAAAGAAGTTCATCTATGAAGACAGCGGTATCTAAAAATAGTTGTCAAACAGAAATAAGCTTTAAGTGGTTAATATTTTAAGACAAATCAAATCACTATACTAATAAAACTAATAAGCCTATTTGGCTACTTCGTACTACTTACACCACTAGAGGGAGGTCATATGCCTTCACAAAGGCAAGAAGAGACAAAAAAGTTAAAATGTTCAAGCCAGGTATATTTTAAATTATGAGAAAGCAACTGAAATGCATAACTAAAGATTTATCGTGTCTAGTCAGCAAAGAATGCTTGTTCCTAAGCTTTGGCCACGCACCTTCACAGACACACGGAACTCATTACGTTTGTTGTCTTCGTTAAGTATATGAGCAGGTCTACAGGAAAGCTAAAAGCATTGGATGCCAAAGCTATTACATTATAGCACTATTCCATATTCTGGCTTCTCAGGGGCAAAGTATACTCTGCTTCTCTAGCCAGAACGTTAGTAATTTGAAGTCCTTCCACTTCTGGCTTTACCATTTTCAATGTTCTGCTACACTCTACCCCAAAATCCCCACGTTCCTGATGTGATGATAGCACAGGATTGTCTTTATCATCTAACACAACACCTCCTGGATAATGTGTGAAATAGGAGTTAATGATAAAGGATTTTACATCCCAGCTATACTGTTCTGGCAAATAACCAGAGAACTCAGATGAAGCAGCTCTTCTTGCTTGCAGATCTGCAGGGCTGGCATCAGCCCCTTACACAGAGAGGTAAATGTGTGGTGCTACCATCATTCTGATTACGTTTACACTATCAATACTAGCTGCATTACCAATGTCAGGACAAGTTCAAAGCAGCAGATGTTATTTATCAGGTAATCACCAAAAGATCCTTTTACTTATTTTCCTCAAGGCATCTTAATTCTCAGAGATTACTATTTTGAGCTACAAATTCAATTGTATGTCTGAATCTAAAGCACAATTTCCTCCCAACCTGCACTCTACCAAAAACCCATAAAGTTATGTTTTGTCGTTCATTCAGCTGTTACTGAAAATCTTTACCGATATAATGCAAAATCCTCTTCTGTGAAGATGTCTTGAATTTTGTCCCCAAAGTACCTGAAAAATTAAACAACAGGCTAAAAGAAGAGATGCTAAATCAGACTGCCATCTGTGCTTTACCTACAATCAATAAATGAAAACACAATACAAAGAAATCCTACAAATGCTTTTCAGCATGCTGTTCCCAAAGCACTGCTCAAAGATTAAATGTTAAAAGATTAAAGGATCAAGATGCAGCAGCTGATAATGAAATTCCCCAGGCATGAAAAAAGTCCCCTCCCACATCATTAAATAAGCACACAGATTCAAGTTTTTAAGAGGTCAGACTACTTGATTTCTTCCACTGCTGACAAACTAGACTACAACTGTGAAAAAAATACTGCTATTTACTGGTGCAAGAAGAACTCTGAAAATAAAGGTAATGGTAGCTTTCAAAGAGCTCAGTTTAACAAAAGATTGGTTTTCATGCCACAAAAGCTTTTTAACTGGTCCTGGAAGCTGTAGTGGATCTAACCAACTTCCACAGTTTGTCATTACTAACACCAGGGCTTAAGACACTTCAAAAGGCAACGAGCATTGAAGCGTAAGATAACAAGAGGCAGCAAGCCACAGTCCCATTTTACCTGTACAGATTAACAAAATGCTTCCCCAGTGAAAGAGCTCCAGAGTGCAAGTCCAAAATTGATGCCTGGGAAAGGAAACACAAAAGTAGGAAAAAGAGCATGAAAAGGTTTTATCATTATTTAACTCTGACCTTTAATAACTGCGCCAAGTTGGCTCTCGCTTTCCACAGCCTCCCAAGTAAAAATATTAGTTTGTAGCATTTGGGTTCACAATGCTGATGCCGACTTCATAACTACAAACCTCCCTTGCTGTATAGATGCACAAAAGATTAAGGTACTATGAATAAAGCAGGGGACTGCTATTCCCAAGACTCAAATCTGACACACAGAATTGCCAGAGTCTTCCTCCATGGGCCAGGGTTAAGACACTCTGTTCCTGGATCCCTTCTTGAAGGCATTTCCCTTCCACACAAAGATGACTAGTTTTCCAATATTTGTGAAGCGCTCAAATAGCAGCACTAATATTTATCTTGCCCATCATTTGTTATTAAAACTTCTTCACCATGAGTTCCTGTATCTGTCTCATATTTAATACAGCCATAAAAGTCTGTTTAAAGGAACAATTATAATTCTAAGGCTTACTAGAGCCAAACTTTCCTTTCCTCAATTTCTAAACCGCTGTAAAAGAAAAACCAAAGAGTGAAAAGTTTTTACATATGAAAATTCAATCCACTTCTTCATACGATTCAAGACAAACACTTCTGCTGAGCTCCAGACCAAGCTAAAGAGATTAGTATTCAGATTTGCCAGGATAGAGCACTGCCCCTCGGGACTCTAAATTATTTCTCTAAATTGAATAAAGTGCACTTTTGTATGTCCCTTGCTGTCCACAAAATACATGTTTGGTTTGTATCAGTTAAAAGGTATTTAAAAATATGACTGCTTAGAAGCAGTCTTATTTTTTTCATACTGGAAATATCAAGTAGCAACAGCTAATTAACCTGACTGGCACCAAAGTAATAACATATTTGATATACAATGTCCAGGCAAAAGCACTCACCTTGGAATTTGGCTTTTCTTGATGCACCATTTACCATTCACATTATTCTAACAAAATCCAAACAATAATAACACCACTAGGGGAGCTGCCTGGAAAGAATAACAACTTCCATCTTCCCAGCAAGAAGAATTTCTGGGCATGGTTAGCACAGCACTGTTTGAAGCCGCTTTGTACCTTTACCCAAACAGTCAGGCTGGTGAGTGAGCAGCAGCAAATCAGCAGCAGGCAGACGTGTCGGAGCTGCAATGCCAGGATAGCAAAACAGCTTCATGCTCACTCCTAGTCTCAAAGCACTTTTCTCCCCCCACTCTTCCTCTCAATCACATTGGACGAAGACAACCATGACAATCTCTCAGCAAAAGAAAATTGCTGTGGGCTCAACTGCTCTGAGATTCAGTGCTGAATCAGGGGAACTCCAGTAAAGTCTCCTTTTAAAAGAGATAGTAACAACCTTCTTTTAATAAATCTACCCACATCATTTTATTTACCCATGAACAAAGCTTTAAAAATATATGAAGTAATGAACTATTCAAGTGGACATAGCATGAGCTTTTCAGACCTCCCCTTCCCACAGAACTCAAAAAAATTCACAGGACTGTTATGGAAACAAGTAATGTCACACTCATGCAAGAGTAACTCATAGTAAGCTTTACTCAGTCTTCAGAAGTAAAATATTTTCATTCATTGGCTTCTGGTTCTGTACAATAATCTAAGTTACAGCTAGAAGTAAAACTGCTCCCACGTAGCTTCAAAAATATGCTTGTGATTATGCTAAAGTAGATTATGAGGAGAAGTAGCAGGACACAACTGAAAAGATTAATTTAATTCAAAATAAATTGCCTTTCAAATACTTTCAACCTGCTTTCCAAACATACACGTTTATTCTCACTCTTCAAGCTCCAGATGATTACAGTTGGGAAGATCCAAAATGATCAAATGAATCAATAAAAGACACTCCCAAGAACTGCAGGTATTCATTGCTGCAAAGACAATAGCTATGATACAAAAAGCCAGATGAAGACAACTGAAAAGGGAACCTGAAAAAGAACAAGTATTCTTCAGGCTTGTTTCAGAAGAAAATAACTGAATGCCAAATATAGACAGGGACTCAATTACACACGAGCACAGGGCTATTTGTTTAAAAGTTCCTTGGAAAGAAACTGAAACATTTGTTTTGGCATCTGCCATTTCAGAACATCAAACGTTTTCAGCATCACTTCCTATACTGACAAGAATACCTTGGTGGAAGCCTGTGTCAACACCATCACTTCAAGTCCAATTATCTGATGAAGGGTCAGCCTGCAATTCAGGCCAGTGTTCCCAGGCTGAAAGTGCTACAAAGTTATCAAAAGATGGCAGAACACTGCAAACACACATACCCACACACCTCTTCCCAAGAGATTAACAGAACGACCCCAATATCCTGGTTTACAGAACTTCTATAGAAAGGAAATTGAATATCCTTTTTAAAAAATTAAAAGCACAAATACGTATTCTTTTAGACCTTCAGTATTGTTAGTCCCACATTCTCCACCCTCTCACTGCTAAAAGGATTCAAAAAGAACATGCAAGCAACAACGATTTCTTAGCATGTGACAAAGAGGATCAATTTCCCCACCTTGCAAAGCATGCTAGGTCCTGCCTTTGATCCTCACTAAAAGGGATTGCCAACCAGTAACAAGACATTCACTTCTACAGCAATTCCATCTTCTTCCTCCACCCCTCTGAAAGTTTTAAGTGAGATTTTTAAAGAAAACAGCAGACACACTGCCCATAAGAGAAAGATGAGAAACTTACTTCTACTTGTCTACAGAGAAGTTGGTAGAGCTCAAAAAACTGTTCCTACCCCTCCTGTGAGAACACTCACATGCTTCAGCTGAGAAGAGGGAAAAGCAATGGAGGTTCTACATGGCCACTGATTCCTGGGCAGCATCAAACTTGCTGTCACTGTGGGAAGTCTTACGCACACTCCAACACCACCTTTAAATACCCTTCCCTACTTGAATCTTGAGAGAAGGACCAGGCTTCCATTCTTAAAGTAATGCCTCTTAAGAGTTACACTAATTAATTACGAAACACAAGCGTAACCAGTGCAATTTATACATCAGTCAGATGGCTGGAGGGACAGGTTATTACTGTGGAAATTAAATGCAATACTTGGCTATGGTGTCCAGTACAAGTTTGCACTAGATATCAGACAACTCCCGGAAGCTGGAGAGGAATCCATTAAGTCCAGATAATCACACCAACACACAGCTGTAAGTGACAGACACACTGCCAAGCATGTCTTTCACTCCTCACAAGCATGTGTTTCCTAAATGCTATCAGGAGGGTAATTATGAAGGAAGAACACCCTGTGGCCTGTAGTAGAGGTATGAGACAGGACAAGTATTACGCAGAAGCTTTATCTTCTCCCTGGAAAACAGAGCCAACAGTGGTGAGGACCCCAGTTTGGTTGGGAGGGCTGAAAGCAGAACAAGGAGGGATGTGGTCTGCAGAACAACTGTTCTGTGCGTGGGTCAGTGGGCCCACATCAGAAACCCCTGTTCAGCATCACAGCTACTCAGGTTGTTTGCTTCTCTCAGTGATTAAGAAATTTAAGTTTTCCCCTGCAAAAGGGAGGTCCAGGTGGCTGCTCCTGCTGTGTTCGCTGCACCACAGGAAACAGGCTGCAGCTGACTGGCTGCACCAAGGGATTTCTTTTCTGGGGCTTCTAAATAAACGCCAATAAATCTGATAGTAAATGAGTCGTTTCATTTACACTGGAGAGGAGTTATGACGGCAGCACCTACAAAGACATGAATGAATGAGTCATGACCAAAGTGGTAATGCAAGCAGGGGTAGCGTACAAGAAAACACTACATAGGCAGGAAAGGTCATTATCTTTATAAAGAAGAAAAAAACTAAGCTGAGGCAAACATCAAGAGAACTAATGCGAGTCACATTCTGTGAATGAGGAAGAGAGCATAAAGCCATTTCATAGAGACGTACAAGGGAAAGCAGCATACTGGTGGAGAAGATGCTCCTGTTCACATTCTGTTGAAAGTTAGACTAGAAGACTACAATGGCCTCTAACCTCCCTCTGTGTGTGTGTACACAAAAACAAATCTAGGAAAAACTACAAAGGAAGGTAAGAAAGGAAGCTCAGCATGACAACTGGGTCATGACTCCTGGGAGATTTCAATAATTCAAACGTTTGCCAGGACTTTCTCAACACAAAAGGATAGAAAGGGAAACTGCACTGTACTTCAATCCTCCAAGGAAGCAGAAAGGACAGCAAAGGGAGGAGAGAACTGACAGATTTACAAACTGCAAGTTTAGGTCTTTAAATTATTAAATTATATCCAGACACAAACCCACTTCTGTGAATTCAAAATATAAAAAGTATGAGAGAAGGAAAAAAAAAAAAACAGACATGTTGCTTAAAAAGAGGATAAAAGGAGATCAGAGAGAAGGAAAATGCAGTCTGAATCCCAGTAGAAATCTGAAGAAGTTTTATTCAGGAACAGTGGAGAGATCAAAGTGACTAAAGAAAGAATTAAAAAGAACTAAACAGAAACAAGGAGTTATTTAAGGAATTTTTAAGGAAAAAATTAGTCTTAGAACAACAGACGTAATTGGACAGAATTATCCAAACAATCTAAAGCCTATGAAATTTAAAGCAACAAGCCAGAACCAATCCAACAGGCTTGAGAGGCATACGGGCAAAGCAGCCAGATGAAGTAAGACTTGAAACACTTTGTATGCTATGTAGGTACGAGATTTGAATCAACAAAAGGCTCAAATAAAGACAGTTTCATCTATATGTCATCACCACACACCCATCAGTGTTTAATGATACCTGGGAGCCACGACAGCACTTCTGGGAAAACATTCATTCCATGACATGAGGAGTACAAGCACACACATCGAAAAACAAAGAGAAAGATATGGCAGAACAGGGGAGAAAGCACCATGAAAGAAACGAGGTAAAGAGACTGCATTTAAAGGCTTCTCCCAGAAACACTGGTCAGCTCTTGTTTTTAGCATGTTTCATTTATATCCTTATATTTAGCATATAAACAGCATAGTGTTTAGCCACTGTTTTGGCTAGGGCCTCCATGCAATACTACACACCTCTCTTCTTGCACCCTCCCCTAAGGAGTAACACCCCGCAGTAAATTTCTCACATTTACAAATTATGAGAAGGCTTGGATCGGAGCCCAAACTTCTCAATGGACATCAGATTTCTTAACAGACTTATTTTATTGCAGAAACAGGATCTTCGTTTTCCCTCCCCTTTAAAAAAAAAATCCCACACTGATGCTTCCAAAATGATGCAGATGATGGATTTATACTTGTCTGATAGTCTGGCTTGTTGCCCAAATAAGCCAGCTCAGGTCCCCTGCCCAGCTCTGTGCAGGGCAGCAAGTTCACATCCTCTCATGTCTCATCCAAGCTTTCTCTGCCTCAGTTTCCCCAGTTTCCTGACCCCCAGGGGGACATTAGCTTTCTGTGGTCCAAATCCATGAAGTTGCCTATGTTATGCATTGCCCTTCTAATCCCTGTTTGTGGAAGTCTAATGAAAAATCACATGTAGGTCCTGAAAGAACAGGATAGGGAAACCCACTTCACAGCATCACTGACAGGAGCTAAGCTGTAGGTCCCAGCAGGCAGAGTAATCTAGACAGAGATGCAAACTATGCAACCACAGAACTGGAAAAAAAAAAACCACACCACCAAACAAAAAAAAAAATCAAAACAAAACAAAAACCCAAAGAGATTCTGACAGAACTTAACAGAGAACATTAAAATCTTTTAAATATATTGTTTCAGATGGGCAGCACTGCTTAAGTTTCTCAGGTTATATTTTCTGCAGATCTTTCTTAGCAATCACGATTATTTTTTCATTGAAACCTTTCTTTTCTGCTAATATATGCCCCAATTCAGCAGAGGCCTAAATAAGTGGTTATGTCTACAAATGCACAAGAAAGTTTCTGTTCATACACAAAAACATCCTGAGCACAAAGATGGGGGAAAGAAATGAAAATAAACGTGCTTGTTAGAGAAGTGGTTTTGTTTTCATTTTTAAAGAATTATTCAAAGGTCTACTTAAGACATTCCATGGTTACTTTTTGTCACTATACAAAACCAATCTTCACATGATGCTGTGAACCACTGTAATCTAGTTTCAGAAGTCAAACTTGTGCAGTTCTGCTATAGTGACTGTTTCCAGATGGAGAAGACAAAATCCGTTCAAGAGGTGCTAGAAATAACTAAACTGAGTAACAGGAAGTGTCAACTGTATTGCAGAAGTCGCGAATTACACTGCTAGCACAAGTATTAACAGGAGACAAATTAACTTTCCAAACGAATTGTTTTCCAAGTCTGAAGGGACAGAAAAATTCTCTATCTCCTCAGGCCCCAAAAACACATTTATAACCTTGCCTTGACAGTAAAAGAATGTAAAAAGTAACAGGACACTGCTCACCCCTCCATCAGATCCTCCCAAGGACAGTCCCCTCTCTGCTATTCTGCAGGCAAAACAATAACCTTGGATGAGAACTGAAGTCTGGTAACTTTAATGTCATTATTCACAACACTTACTGAAGAGTCACATGTTATTTGATGCATCAGATATAACCCGACTGAGTTAAGAGAAGCTGCCATTTATTTGAAGCTGAATCTTGCAGCCTGTCATGACAGTAAAGCACCTACTTTGCAGAACACTTCTGAGCTTGTTGCCCCTTCCATAAACCCCCAAAACACCCCAAAAAACCCATTGTCTTTCAAATACATTCTGGCCAAGTAAGATTAAACATAAGAACCCCACAGATATTGATTCTTAGAGGCTGTATAAGTAAACCTGTACAATACAGAATCACTGTACCAAAATCAGGAGCTCAGCTGAATTTGAAATCAGTGGCCAACCTGACTAGTGAACAAAGCACTTAGCAGCTGCATTTGCTTCAAGCAGTACAGTGATATTTCCCACTTACGTGATTCTCAACTGCAAATCACGCTCAAAGAGGCTGATAACTTTTCTAACTGCATAATTTGACAGTGTTCCCTACTGTTTGATTAAAACTCATCACTTAGTGTTCATAGAGGACTACAGGGTCAGCACTAGCCCATAATTACCCAGAAACAGACTCAGCTGAAAGGAGGCTTATATTGTCTTGCTCTGGTTTTAACAGCCAAATGGAACAGAAGGCCAAGTGAAAATCCTTTAAAATTTAGTTAATGAATTTTCCTTTTTTCTCTACAACACTCATGTCCCACAGAGCTAGGCAGACTCTGTATGAAAGAGAAGGTCCTTTATTACAGCAAAAATGGAAAATGGCTTTTTAAAAAAAGTTTAGTGTTTTAACCAGCTTAACCCATCCTCCTTCAGCTAAAGAGCTTTGTGCTACACCTTAAACACAGGCCCACTGTCATTAAAGTGCTCAAAAGAGTTAAGGAGCTAAAACAAAAATTACCTACGGATTCTTTCAGCTTCTTCCCTCGTGATTACTGCATCTGTCACACCTCTTCCACACTTTCTAGGAGTGCACCCTGGAACATAAAGAGGAAGAGAAAAAAAAAGAAGATATTATCTTTCAAAAAAGGTTCAAAACAAATCTCTTAATATTCTCCTACCCCCCTTTCAGATTCACAACATTCAGAAGGGATATTGACAATCTCAGAATATTTTAGATCACCTAAACTACAAGAAAGTTATATCTCTATCTTGGTGTGTTTTGCACTGCAATCAGAGATTTGCTCAGCCTGCACCCCCACCAAACACAAGTCAAAAAGAAGCAAATAATATTCTGTATGGGGTGTCAATACAAATACACCTTGGGGCAGCTTTTTATACAAGACTTTGCACAAAATTGTCTTGAAGCACACAACTCAGACACATATGATAAAAAAAGTATCTTAAAATTCATTGCTAAGAAATCTAATGCTACATTTTAAAAGCTCATGGGGAAAAAAGCCAGCAGTAAGAGCTCAAGGTAAAGAATATATGAAAGTTCTTATGAAATTAGAAGTCCAGTCCACAAAAGTCTTCAGGCAAGAACAAGAAATAAGATCAATTCTGAGCCAACAGAGACCTTAGAATGTCACACTTAGCACTTTACTGAGGAAGATCCATATACAGATGTAAAACCACAAAAGTTGGGATGAGTATTTTCTGACACCTGCCAATACACTTACTGTTGCTGAACTGAGCTCCTCTTCAAGGACTATTTTCTCATCAGAACAGGGAAACTCCTGGAAAGAAATCAATCAACCCACCCATGCAAGTCAAATGCATCAGTCTGCTCTGATGAAAAGCAACTAACGATAATAATGACCACAGACTGATGGAAAGAAATTTTGCCACAGCATGAGTACTCTGTAGGAATTTCCACTTCATCTTACTGGATGTACCCTGACTGTCCTGGGTGCACTGCAAAGCCCTCCACTTACACCAGCGTTTCAAGAGGAGAAAGAAGCAATAAGAAGGATGTGTGGGTGAACAGCCTGAGTACTAACAGCAACATACCAAATTATACCCAGTTTTCTTGCTTGGCAAAAGAAAAGTCACTTGTTTGACGTATGTTTACACTGATGTCAAAGGCACCCACACCAAGCAGACTGTATAAACACAGATCAAAGTCAGGAAACCAATTGGATTACAACCCAGATGATTAATTGCATTTTCTGACTACCCAGCAACAATTCACTGAAGTCAGCTCAAGACTCACATTCCAGGGAGCATACACTAAGTTATTTGAAGATGACCTAGGAAACTGGCAGTCTAAAATAACACTGGAGATTACATTCTTAAGCATCCACTTATCAATGCCAGCACAAAACCCAACACTGTAACAAGAATGAACTAGAAACACTGCTCCCCCAGCTCACTTTTCTCCTCTTGACTATGAGCTAAATAAATGAGCAGAATCAAAACATACAATTATCAGAAATTATAGTGCCTTGATATAGAAAAAAATCCACCTAAAAATTCTGGCAGTCACCCAAAAGTGCTTTACATACGAAAGAACAACACTTTGCAATACAGTACCAGGCCCAAAGGCACAGAATTTGAACCAACAAAAACCCACAAGGGCTTTATAGGTGAAAAGTTGTTTTAAGTTACAAATTTGGGAGAGGAGAGAGTAGAGAGGAGAGCTTCTGTGCCATGTTTCAGGCATGTTGTAAATATCCCCTCTGCAACCAGAAAGGCTAGGGACAATTTTTGTGGAAATTCTTGCATTTTTCAATCTCAATTCCAGGCACTATCAATTTGCAAGTTAAACATTGCAGATCTTGCAAAAAAAAATGTAAGCACTGAAAATGCTGTATTCCTTTGGAGCGTATGACCAAGCAGTTCTGAAAAGCAACAAGTAGTAGCCAGAAAACACTGCAAACTATTTGTCATCTGCCCTAACAAAAATGTACATGTTTTATGTTGCTGTGTCTTAATTTAAGGCTCCATCATACATTCAGCAGCGGTAGATTAAAATCCATTCTTCACTTTTGAATGCAAGGCTGAAGAGCATCTCAGAAGCCAATTGACAGGGATGAGACATCTCTGCCTCCAGGCTAGCAAAGAGTGAGACAGATGGCTGAGGCGGTATCAGCTTCCAGCACCCAATTTTAAACTCAGATGCATATAAAAAAAAAAACAGCCAAAGAGGAACCCATTTGGGTGCCCAGAACTGAAAAAAACAACGAAACCCAACAAACATTTAGTTGGTAACCAGAAGATACAGTAAAAGGTTTGCAGGACAATAATCAATCCCAAATCACACAACATATACTCCACACTGTACCCAACATTCTGTTGGGTATAAAGATGTCAACAATTTTATGAAGCCTAAGTTTGGATGTTGGCAGTACACTTTTTTATAGCCCTGTTACAAAATAAGATTAAAAAAGATTGAGGTAACAGGCTGATAGAAAAACAAGACCTTCGAATTCAGGAGAGAGCTGAACACCGCAAAACCAAGGAAACTCTCTTGGGTAATACAGACAAGAAAAGGGGAATGACTGTCCTTCTGCCATTGAAAAGGTCTCTTGAATGTTTGAAAGGCAAAGAAAATTTTCTTACAGATGAGGGAAAGCTCATGTTTAAGGAGAGAAGAGGTGGGAAAGAGGAAATTCAAAGGAGAATTTCAATATTCTATGACAAACTTTCTGAACAGTTTTCCTTGTATGACATTCCACAAAAAGGATGCTAGAAAAGACTTCCGATTTCAGAAGAGATTTGTGCTCTTTATTTCCAGCTGCAAACAACAGCACAGATCTTACACTTTTGGAAAGGTTGGTACTGCAGAGTCCAGATTCGGCAGAACTATAGCGTTACCTCGGACAATTCATACATGTCTCGGGTCTCTGACAAACACAGTACTGGAAGCAGAAGGTGTTCTGAAGGTAAAACCAAAAGCCTTTCCAAAATGAGATGAAAAACAAGGAAAGATAGTCCAGCATAAAGTCAGTCAGGTACCAACAGTAAGGCACAAACACTGGATGAATGCCAAAGGAAAATCAAAACACTCCCTTTGTTTGAAAACAATTGTAGCCTTAAGAAATGTGTCATCTTTGTCTCAGAGACCATGGTACCTGGGAACACTGAAGTGTTAAAAGCATACTTGCAGAATCGGTACTCAGGAGAAATTCGGTTTAGTATTACAAAGTACCCAGTAGCTTCCACAAATTTGTGCCTAGTAGATGCAAAATAATTCACTTCTCTAATAAGGCACTGTGCTTTCGATCCCAGTATTTTTTGTATGCGTATGTAAGTTATTTTTGTACATTTTTTTTTCAATAAAGGAGGAACACACCAAAACATGCAAAAGCCTAAGTACTCCCTATGGCCTCTGTTCCTGTTCAGTGCACAGAAAACAGAACGTAACACAGGGGTCTAAGAGCCTGAACTGCAGCTTTGTCTTCTACTTAAAGTGGTACTTGGCCAAGAACCATATGCTACTGAGATGGGAATGATTCCCAAGAGAAAAAAAAGCCCCATGATGATGCTCCCCTAATGCAGTCCATCCCAAAGTAGGACAAGAGGAGGCAAAGACTGATTGGATACCAGCCCATAACCACACCAGTAGTCTAGGTACTGGACCTTTTCCTCCACTGCTCAGACTTCACTGCTTTCCACATCCACCGATCTAGTCTCTGGAAAAGCATCTTAAAGCCATCTCCTAGGCAGTGATGATGGGTGCTTTGCACACTGACACAATACATCAACACCCAGTAGAGACTACACAGGAGTTTCATCAGACACACTGGGAGCCACAGTGGCTTTAAGTAGTTAACCATGTCTCAAGACAGCAGAAACAGCCAAGAGCTGACCACAGGGTTCAGAATGCAGATGAGACCGTGCTCACAGCACACCCTGTCTTCTGCAAATATAATAAGTGCTTGGCTTCTGAAAAATAATGCCTTTTATTTCTGTATGAAGCATGTTTACTGGCAGGCAGTGCTCTGGAAATAAAGCCGCTGCTCTGCAACACCAACTACTGTATCGTCTGAAGCAAACTAGCAGCTCAGTGGCACCAGTTCAGTTTGAAGCAGGGACAGGTGCATAAATAAAAAGCTCATCTTAGCTGTGGAAACTTGATGGTGGAGCATCAGATACCAAGTGAGGACAGGAATGTGCCTCCTTCTGACACAGAGCCGGCAGCTGTGGATGGCAAGCCAGAGTACAGACAGAGAATGAAAAGCTATTGAGTGATAAAAAGCTATTTCCAACAAAACGACTAAAGCTCTGGAGCTGAATCCAGTTTGGCAGAGAACCATAATCCGCATTTACTGCCTCACTGAGCTATCAGTAACACACACGTGGAGCAAGGGGCCAGCTTTGCCAGGACAGCAAAGCTCAGCAGCTCACCACCACCCTCTCGCGGGCACCCAGCAGGAGACGAGAGCAGAGACGAGCAGAGTTCCTTACCCCAGCACGGCTTCAATTAACCACCTAACAAAACAGATGTTCACGCATTTCTAACACCACTGATCTCCTTCTGAAAGGGAAACACATGTAGAAACATCTGCCAAAACCCAAAAGTCAAACACACAAGTTTTCAAGTTCCTGCCTCCCTTACATTGGAAAGAATAACTGATGGGGTTGTTAAAACCACAAGTCCACAGCTCAGAAAATGCCTCTTGCAAACCAGATAAGGGAAAAATCAGGCTGTCAGTGGGGGAGTTCCTTTTGGTAAGCAAAAGCCCAACAGCACAACGCAGTTTTAGCCTTAGTTCAGTCATAACTACCAGATCCGTGGCAACACCAGCTGCAGTTTTCTCTGGCCTTGGTACTACATAAACAAAGCCAGAAGTGGTTTCACCTTATAGTAACTATAAAAAGTTAAGCACATGAAAACACATGTTCCATTTTAAGTCAAAAAATCCCCCTGCTGAGGAAGTTCTCTTGTTAACAGCTTCATGCCAGCAGTTTTCTCTGCCTCAGTAACATTTGGGATGAACCCTCCAAAACCCAATCAAGCAAGATGCTACAGCAACAGCACTGAGGAAAAACTATCTGATCACAACTACACACAAGCTTTTGGTTTAAGTTACAAGCCTTTCGATCAACAGTGTCAGGACCAGCCACCTGAAGAGAACAGGGGAAATTACCTCCACATTTCTGGGGCACCACACCCAGGCTGCAGTTTGAACACTTTCTACCAGAACTGGCACTGAAAGAAAGTTAGAAGACAGAAAACCACAGAACAGCTCTGTGATATGGAAAGGAAGATCAGGTTGGAAAGGAGATCAACTAGTCCAGCCTTTTGTGGTAAAGTGAGCCTAGATGAGATTATCCAGTGTCCTGTTCAGTCACAGCTTGAAACCCCCCCGCCACAGAGACTCTACTACATCCCTGGGGAGGTGGTTCCAGCAATTGTTCCCTTTGTAAAAAATTTCTTTCTTATATCAAGATGAAACCTTGCCCAGTGCAAGTTTTACCCTCTGCCCCTTGTCTTCTCCATGTGGCTCTTGTGAAGGGAGAGCCTCTATCCTCTTTGTAGCTGCCATTTAAGTACTAGAATATTGTGATGAGGTCCCCCCTGAGCTTTCTCTTCTCCAGGGAGAAGAGACTCAACTCCTTTGGTCTTTCCTCACAGGGCAGGTCCTCCAGCCCTTTGATCATCTTTGTTCTTCCTCAGCTCCATGCAGTTTCTTCCAGCCTCCACACTGCCTCCAGCTTTGTGCCAGCAAGTGTTTTGTCAGCTACATAACAAACCAGATGAGACAACTGATTTGGCTAAAAACTAACTTTTTTTTTTTTTTTTTTAAGATGCAATAGCTTATCAGTCAACACACAGACAGACGTACAGGTAGGCTGACAAAAAGCAAGAGCAGAGCTGCTTTCTGGCAGCAGTACCAGCTCAAAATGTTCACCAAGACACACTTTCTCAAATCTGAAAGAGAACATGAGCATAGCTCATCCACGCAAACTGCAGGCTAGACTCTCACTGCTCTTCATCAGAGAAGACAAAAATCTTCCATTTCTTTAGAAGATCCAACATCAACACTCTAAAGAAGTAACTGCCAGGGAAACAAATACCAATTTGACAGAAAACACACTCAGCTGAAAGATATAAAGACAGAGAAGTGCTTTGCAGGTACTATTAACAGTTGCTGGCACACACACATTTCTGAACAAGTGTATGAGAAGCTGGCATTTGTGCTGTTATCACACACAAGTGCTAGTGCTACAGATAATACCCTAAATTGATTCCATCCCATACCCTGTATGGTATTTACCAGTAACAAACTCACTCGCAAGCCCATTACAGGAATCAACCAAGTACAAAAAGACACTAGAAACAGATTTAGCAAAAGGTTTATTTCACGCAGCCTAAGCAAAGCGGTTGCAGAAGAGAAATACACAGGAACAACAGAAAAGCCTTTCAGACACAACTTCTGGGCTGACCCAAGAGGCCCGAACGTTTGGGGATTTAAACAATCCACCCAGTGAGTCAGTGTTTGGGAGGAACACGCAGTTCTGCAGCACAAATCCCATTGAACAGCCTGTTACGGTCCTTTGGAAACTGCTTCATCCCACTTCAGACAACCCTATCCAAATACCTTCAAACCTTTTGTGGCTGTCGTAGTCCTCAGAGCAGGGGATCTCAGTGAACTTG